CTTAAGAAAACATGCACAGTTACATGACACTTACCTTTATTGAAGATGTGGTGATGATTGATGGGATGGGAGGAGGGGAGACTGGATGGTTTTAGTGTTTAGAAGGGGAATCCCCTTCCATTAGGACTTGAGGTGTCAAGTCCTTTTCCGGGGTTGCTTCCCTTCTTCTTTTAATGCCACTAGGACCAGCTTCAGAGTCACTGGACTTCTGTTGCACAACACATCTGTCCATAGTGGCCTGTACCTCTCGTTCCTTTATGACTTTCCTAAAGTGTTTCACAACAGTGTCAGTGTAATAGTCACCAGCACGGCTTGCAATAGCTGTCTGAGGGTGATTTTCATCCATGAAGGTTTGCACTTCAAGCCACTTTGCACAGATTTCCTTAATCTTTGAAGTAGGCAACTTCTTCAATTTCTCTCTCCCCTCCTCCGAAGCAATTTCCTCAGGTGTGGCCTCTTGCTGTTGAAGTTGATCTAGCAGCTCATCAGTGGTTAGTTCTTCATTGTCCTCCTCCACCAACTCTTCCACATCCTCCCCACTAACCTCCAACCCCAAGGACTTCCCCAGTGCCACAATTGATTCCTCAACTGGCATAGGATTCTCAGGGTTAGCCTCAAATCCTTCAAAATCCCTTTGGTCTACACATTCTGGCCACAGTTTCTTCCAAGCAGAGTTCAAGGTCCTCTTAGTCACTCCCTCCCAAGCCTTACCTATAAGGTTTACACAATTGAGGATATTAAAGTGCTCTCTCCAAAACTCTCTTAGAGTCAGTTGAGTTTCTGAGGTCACTACAAAGCACCTTTCAAACAGAGCTTTTGTGTAATTTTTTGAAGTTTGCAATAACCTGCTGGTCCCTGGGCTGCAGGAGAGGAGTGGTATTAGGAGGCAAAAACTTCACCTTAATGAAGCTCATGTCCCCACAAAGTTGCTCTGCCAAGTCTGTAGGATGACCAGGGGCATTGTCTAACACCAGGAGGCACTTAAGGTCTAATTTCTTTTCAGTTAGGTAATTTTTCACAGTGGGGGCAAATGCTTGGTGTAACCAGTCATAGAAAAAGTCCCTAGTGATCCATGCCTTATTGTTTGCCCTCCACAGCACACACAAATTAGCCTTGAGGATATTCTTTTGCCTGAACGCTCTGGGAGTTTCAGAGTGATACACTAATAAAGGCTTCACTTTGCAATCACCACTAGCATTGGCACACATGAGAAGAGTAAGCCTGTCTTTCATAGGCTTGCGTCCTGGGAGTGCCTTTTCCTCCTGAGTAATGTACGTCCTGCTTGGCATTTTCTTCCAAAACAGGCCGGTTTCGTCACAATTAAACACTTGTTCAGGTTTCAGTCCTTCACTGTCTATGTACTCCTTGAATTCATGCACATATTTTTCAGCTGCTTTTTGGTCCGAACTGGCAGCCTCACCATGCCTTATCACACTATGTATGCCACTATGCCTTTTAATCTCTCAAACCAACCTTTGCTGGCCTTAAATTCACTCGCATCACAACTAGTTTCAAGCATTTTTCTAATTAAATCCTCGTGCAACTTCCTAGCCTTTTCACTTATGATCGCTTGAGAGATGCTATCGCCTGCTATCTGTTTTTCGTTTATCCACACCAATAACAGTCTCCCAACATCTTCTATCACTTGCGATCTCTGTTTCGAAAGCACAGTTAAACCTTTGGCAAGAACAGCTTCCTTGATTGCCGTTCTCTTGGACACACTAGTAGCGATGGTTGATTGGGGTTTACTATACAACCTGGCCAGCTCGGAGACACGCACTCCACTTTCATACTTAGCAATGATCTCTTTCTTCATCTCCATAGTAATTCTCACCCTTATTCCTGTAGGGTTGGCACTAGAAGCTTTCTTGGGGCCCATGGTCACTTATTTTTCAGGTGAAATCACTATAAAAAGGCTGTAATAATACAAAATGTTCCGATTGTATGCTTGAATGTTACCACGGAGGCTGGCTTGTAAACAATGCCACTGGCAGAACAAGTGAGGCTGGCTCAGGCCGCATGGACGCGTCTCGGACAAATCGCGTTGAGCGAATTTTTTAGCGCTATGCGAGGCAAAATTTTAGCGATAAAATGTATCGCTATGCAGATTTAACGCTATGCGATGCCAACGTTATGCGGGGGTCCACTGTATTTTGAAATGTATTGTGTAAACACGAGGGGTGATGGTCACTTGCTGAGAAACAATGCCAGACTGACTCTGAATGGTGTGTGGGAGGCTTTGTGTGCACATGGCCACTGGGACATGTTCCATACAACCGCCGAATTCAGAGGGAAATCACGAAAATAGAGGCTATACTGTATTTTGACGAAAAAAGTTACCGATAATCAAAATTCGTGAAAATAGAGACTCACGAAATTAGAGGTATTACTGCACTGATAAAGTAGTCTGTGGACCAGTAATGGGCTATATTTTGCTTATATGTATGTGGCATAAGCATGACAGTGGCAAGGGATAAATACATTTCAGCCACAGTTGTATCTTTCCACCTATGCAGCCATGATGATTCTGCATCCTCTGTGTTGTCCATGATATAGCGGTAATAATTGTTCATCTGTCTGGGTCACTATCAAGTTCATTAGAGGCTCATCAAAGTATAACTGGAAAAAGTCTAACTCTGTAGACTCATTTGTTATGGGACATTCTGGCAGGATGCTACTTCCACTCGCATCAAAATCACAAGGCTTTGGCATGAATATACTTTGTGTTTAATTCCATGCACGGTCACATGGTGCAGGTGGACCTGTGGCATGGGACATGGGGGAGCAGGAGGATGGACAGGAGTGGAGGCAGTACATGGTTGAGGGGGTGCCAGGCAGCCCTTTGTCTGTCCACCCACCGCGCCATGTGCTCCAAGCACCATGCCACCCACCTCTTCCTCCGTCCCTGCATATTCTCCTTCATGATCACTATGACTCTCAGTGGCCAGGGTTTTGGATCGTGACCTGCCATGACCCTTGGGGACTGTATATGGCACACTGCCTGAACGTATGCGACGACGCCTAAAAGTATGCTTCACTGGTGAATAATGAATATCATTATCAGTAGACGAATCCTCTAATGGCATAAAATCAATTTCATCGTCACTTGCATCACTTTCACTATCACTAAAAGAGTGGGAAAATGATAGTTTCCTCTTGCATAGTTGCCTATGGGTAGTACTGGCCACTCCAGAGGTGCTTGGCCCAGGGTCTTGTGTGGCCACACTGGCCACCCCAGAAGTGCTTGGCTGGGGGTCTGGCATGGCCACACTGGCCACCCCAGAGGTGATGGGCTGAGGGTCATCTGAGTTATCGTCGATATTTTCACTAATTCCTTGATCATTAGTGGCCACATTGGTGTCAAATCCACTACTCACATTCTATATCACTTTCCTCGAATAAGTGTGTTAATATGATGAAGTGTGAGTGAATCACGAGGGTTTGCCATGATGTTGACCATTTGGAGTTGAATGTAACTGGTGTTACCATGTGGTACTACGGGGCCCCCGATTTTTTTCATACGGCACACACTGAGTGCACAGACCCAGTCTTCCATGTTTAGGCCGCTCAGGCCCTATCGCACCAAATTTGAAGCCAGGAAAAATAAAACGCAGATCTACGTTCGGAGTGCTAGCGGTAAGAACGTAGATCTACATTTGGACAGTTAATGGGTTAAGGAAAAATTGGGTTACGTTCCATGACCACCTCAAATACAGCCAAAAATAGTTTTGAAATTTGTAATTCAGCTAAATAATTATTTCATGTAGAACTGAAGGCACACACATTATGAGTACACAAAAAAAAGTTTTTTTTTTTCAACAAGTCGGCCGTCTCCCACCGAGGCAGGGTAAAAAAAAGTATGTACAGTAAATTACATAAAGTTAACTTCGGATGATGGAACCAATGATAACCCAGTAAAGCCAAATAATGTGAATGCTGTGTTTTACCTTCAATTTTAATTGCTGATGCAAGATGGGTTTGACATCAATGGAATGGGTTGCTGTTTTCCCTACTGAGCCAAAGTAGATGGCAGGGGAAAGTTTGGGATGAGGTTGATGAAGAGGTGTTACTTACTGGAACCCTGAAGGACTCTTAATCCAATGAATTAAGAGCTACCTTTCCTTTCTTAGGATCACACCAGGTTACTTTACATACTCCGCTTTTATTTACAATTCTCGGCATGAATTATTCGTTACTTCTCCCTTTGTTTATGATGGCATCTAAGGAAGTTGTTAGAAATTATTAAATTCAGGGAACAAGATATGTCAATGGTAATAACATGGCTCTGGGCTGCATTAAATATCACATTGCTATATAGGTAGGTGTAGCCCAGGTGGGCTACATTTACCGGCTACCTACACCTGACTTCCTACAAATAAGAACTACTCACCTCTCATCCTGCATTAAGACTACACATTTTCAGGTAAAAATGAGTGTACTGTGTGTGTATTTTAACTCTCTGTGCTGTTTTAAATATCGTATATTAAGTTTGAGATGGGGAGCCAGGGCTATCTACACCTGACTTCCTACAAATAAGTACTACTCACCTCTCATCCTACATTAAGACTACACATTTTCAGGTACAAAATGAGTGTACTGTGTGTGTATTTTATCTCTCTGCGCTGTTTTAAATATTGTATATTAAGTTTGAGACGGGGAACCACGGCTACCTACACCTGACTTCCTACAAATAAGTACTACTCACTTCTCGCCCTACATTAAGACTACAAATATTTTAAGGTAAGTAATGAATGTACTGTGTATGTATTTTACTTTTTATTGTGTTTTTTAATGCCTAGTCCTATTACTAATGTAATATAAATTAGTGTAAATTTTTTGTCTGGCATTTATAAGTGGAAAAAGAATGGCATTCTGCTTTCCGGTGATAGCCTGGAACCTAACCTGCTGTGTAAGTGGGGCCCTACTATATATTCATTTAAAATTATTTCACAATTTACTTTTTGACCAAATATTATTTTGACTAGATATTGCCTTCTCAGAACATGGGTGACGTGGAGAAGGGAAAGAAGGTATTTGTGCAGCGGTGTGCCCAGTGCCACACTGTGGAGGCTGGTGGCAAGCACAAAACAGGACCCAACCTCAATGGTCTTATTGGTCGCCAGACAGGACAGGCTCCTGGCTATGTTTACACTGATGCCAACAAGGCCAAGGGTATCACATGGGACCAAGAGAACTTAGATGTCTACCTCACCAATCCCAAGAAGTTCATCCCAGGGACCAAGATGGTATTTGCCGGTCTTAAAAAGAAGAACGAGCGTGCTGACCTGATTGCCTACCTAGAGGCTTCTACCAAGTAGAGGAATGTCTTGGATCTCATTACTAATGACTTCATTCACATAACCTACAACCAGGTGCCACTGTCTATCGGGCCTCCAGCTGAAACAGGGCATAGTAGACTTAAGGCCTGCCATGCAGGGTAGGAGTCAGTGATATGAGGGTGAGGACAATCAGCCCTCAAGCATTTCATATGTATAAATCATGTTAATCATCCTGTTATCACCACCCATCTAGATGGGCTCTTGAATTCACTTAATTAAAAATATATTTAGTTCTGCCAGTTTTTATTACCCTTCTTGCTCTTACACAATGAAGCACGGTATGTTGTTTGTTTAAGCTCTCCTTGAAAAGTTTTCTTCTTTGCCCCTAGGTAAAATAGTGAAATATATTTATTTTTTGCATATATTTTAGCAAGGTTTTGGTGCATAATACAAAACTGACATATAAACAACTACTTAACACTATTTCACAGTTTTTCTTAGGAATGGAGGGGCTAAACCTTTGAATGATCTTAACATTTCATCAATAATGAAGCATTTCTGAACAATTTTTATGAAGAAAAGTAAAACTATTAGTAATTTAGTGCATGAGGATGAGCTGCCTAATCCTGGACCAGAACTATTGACAGAATGAAATACCTGCATTGTAAGGATAACTACTGGTAATTGAGTATAATAAAACAGTGCATTTCTTACAAGTGGTGGATGGAGGATCGAGCTTCCACCACAACTTCTTGTGCTGAATCTATCTATCTATCTATCAAGCCTGTGAGAGAGAGAAAAAGAGATAGAGATAGATCTCTATCTCTTTTTCTCTCTCTCACAGGCTTGGTGCTTTACTTAACTAAATCTATATAGCTCAATAAATTCTGAGCACCACAGAGAAGACTCATATTAAGAATAAGGGCTTAGGCTGGGTTCTGAGATGATGTCATCAGCAGAGTGGAGTCCCAGGTTGGTCTTGATACCCACACTTGCCAGCTCAGCCACCAGATACTTGAAGGAGTAAGGCAGGTGCAGCTGGCGAACACTGGCATCAGGTCCACACAACACACATGCTGGCTGCTTCTTCCCATAGAAGCGAGTTCCTCCCGACAAACTCACTGATGGAGACAGTATCCCACCACACTTCTCACACACCCATTCCTGTAGGTACATTAACAAATGTTAGAAATGTGACGACAATTGACTGCTTGATCAAGTTAAAGTCAACCAATGGAAGAGCTGGGTTTTGATGGAAGCCAGAGTTTGAACACTCAGCAGGGACTGTTGTTGACTGGTTGTGTAATTTGCACCACGGTGATTGGCTGCTTTCAGCTAATCAATCATAGACAGAGCCGGCCACCCCTTGCATGTGCATCAGAACACACCTAGATAAGGACAGAACAATGATGGAAAGGGAAAGGTCAAGGGAATATGTAAAAATCTGTGGCAGGTGGAGAAGAGCAGCAGCTTAGGTGTCAGGAAGTGAGCACACCCTAACTCAGAAAACTCCTCCAAACACAACCTCGATCTCTTTCCCAGCTAAACCAACTCTGGGCCAGTCCCAACGTTCCTAGCACCATCACTAACATTGACCCCCTACACCCTTCACCCTTCTCCATTCACCTTCCCTCATCTCCCTTCCTGTAATATTACTGTGACCTAATTCATTTCTGTATAACTCAACTGTAACCAGATATAAAGAAGTAAATAGCTCAATACTACTGTAACTTATTTACCTATCAAAACTTTGCAGCCTATTCTCTGGACTCATAAGTGCCTCTGTAGTCTTTTGACTACTGCCCACAGGATGGGTATGGGGTATGTAATAAAGATATTAAACTAAACTGCATGCCTTAAGCTTTATTCTAAGGATCACCAGTGTTTGTATTTTATGCAAGTTTCTAGGTAAATTGTAACCTTAATGATCTTCATGCAGTTAAAATAAATACATATGCACCAGATAATAAAACCTACTAAAGAAGGTTCCAACAAATACAAGTGAGGAGAGAGATCATATTGAAAGTATTATTAATTTTCTGGGATTTTACTTAATCAAATCCATGGGAAAGTGGAAAAGAATCCTTCCTCCATAAGCCACGAGTGTCATAAGAGGCGACTAAAATGCCAGGAGCAAGGTTCTAGTAACCCCTTCTCCTGTATAAATTACTACATGTAAAAAGAAAAACTTTTGTTTTTCTCTTAAGGTCATCCTGCCTTGGAGGGAGACAGCCAGTACATTCATTAAAAAAAAAATATTTGGCGTGTGATGTGTTACTATTTTTTGGTTCCCGTTCAACCAATGGTTGAACAGGAAGAGGAAAGGAATGCTTTTTGCTGTACCAATGACATGGCGGGAGCCAACAGAACATACCAATAATTGTTGTTTCTGCATGGTACCTCCAGTACAAAAGGACATGTCAAAGAAAAAAAAGGGGGTCCAAAGAATATCCAAACATTCCATCAGCTATTTGCCCAGTTCCACATGGAGAAGGTCTACCTGTTCCTGATGCACTAACTTTGGTATCCTTTGAGTCAGATGAAGAAAGTGGTGAGGAGGCAGAAGAGAAGGATGACAGTGCTAGATTACAGAGTGACTGAAACTTTGATGACGCACACTCCTCTAGACCACATCTCATAACAAAAGGGGAACTCCATGACCTTGTCAGGGATCTGCAACTACCCAAAAATAAGGCAGAGCTGCTAGGCTCTCATCTTCAGCAATGGAATCTCCTAGCAGCTGATGTGAAGATTTCAAAATTTCGTGGTCATCAGCAGCAGCAGTTCAACGATTTCTTCGTAATGGAAGGTGATTTAGTGGCCTGCAACAATATTAATAATCTGATGGAAGCACTTGGTATTGACTACACACCCAGTCACTGGAGGCTGTTCATAGATTCATCAAAAACAAGTCTGAAAGGTGTCTTGCTGCATAACAGCAATAGTAAACCATCAGTTCCTGTGGGCTATGCACCACATATGAAAGAAACTTCTTTCTTTCTTTCAACACACCGGCCGTATCCCATCGAGGCAGGGTGGCCCAAAAGGAAAAACAAAAGTTTCTCCTTTTACATTTAGTAATATTTACAGGAGAAGGGGTTACTAGCCCCTTGCTCCTGGCATTTTAGTCGCCTCTTACAACACACATGGCCTACGGAGGAAGAATTCTGTTCCAGTTCTCCATGGAGATAAGAGGAAATAAAAAAGAACAAGAACTAGAAAGAAAATAGAAGAAAACCCAGAGGGGTGTGTATATATACGCTTGTACATGTATGTGTAGTGTGACGTAAGTGTAAGTAGAAGTAGCAAGACATACCTGAAATCTTGCATGTTTATGAGACAGACAAAAGACACCAGCAATCCTACCATCATGTAAAACAATTACAGGCTTCCGTTTTACACTCACTTGTCAGGACGGTAGTACCTCCCTGGGCGGTTGCTGTCTACCAACCTCCTACCTAGGATGAAAAAACTTATGAGAATATAAAGCATATGTTGCAATGCATGAAATATGATGAAGATCAATGGCAGCTCTGTGGTGACTTAAAAGTTGTTGCTCTTGTGATGGTCTTGCAGGGCAGATACACCAAGTACTGCTGCTTTCTATGTGAATGGGACAGTTGTGCAAGAAGTTCCCACTACATCAAGAGAAACTGCCGACCTCATCAATCATTGGAGCCTGGGATGAAAAATGTTCAACATCCACCTCTCACTGAACCAAACACAATTTTGCTACCACCACTACACATGAAACTGGGGTTCATGAAAAACTTTGTAAAAGTTATGGACAAATCCAGTCTGGGATTCAAGATTTGAGAGCTTCTTCAAGATGGTGACTTTGAATAAGACCTTCATGGGGAGGAGAAAACTGCTTGGGAAGCATTCAAGTTAGTGGCAAAGGGATTTCTTGGAAACAGAAGGGACGGCAACTATGAAGAATTGGTGGAAAACCTCATCAAGGCTTACAAGAACATGGGATGTAACATGCCACTTAAAATCCACTTTTTGGACTCACAGTTTGTGACAAACATAGTGAAAGGTTTCACCAAGATATTTCAACCAAATGGTACCAGGGCAAATGGGGTGCAAGGATGTTTGCAGATTATTGTTGGACATTGGCAAGAGATAATGCCCACTATAAGCATCAAGAAAAAAGGCAGAGAGTAGGTACAGATTAGAGTTTCAAACATACTGACACGTATTGTACATTATAATAAAATAATCAAATATTACATGTCTCGTATCTTTAAACCTATAGACAATAAGCATTTTTTCAACGTGATATTTGGATTCAGGACATGAAAATACATAAGAATTAACTAATCTCATTTCAGAAGCATACTTTTCAAAAACTGTTGACCAGTGTTATGAGCCCTTTCGGAGTGGGTCCTGTAATACTACAGATTTGAAATGTAGGTTGGTCCCAGTGAGCGATAAATTTAGGCCTAGATACGAGAGAATGGGTCTATGCAGTAAGTATGCACCATATAAAAAAATTCCTGTAGCACCATGTTTTTGGTTTAAAACAGTGACTTTGCAGTATTTTCTTGTATGGTTTTTATGGTTGTATTCTCAGTTTCTTGGTCTCATTTAACAGAATGGAAGATATGTTACAGAAACAGATACGATTCTGATTAGTTTCAAGACTGAAAGTAGCTTGAAACTGAGCTCAAAGTAGAGTAAATGTTAAATTTTTGTCAATATTCCAGAGTACACAAATTACATCACTTGTCCAATAAACATCTAACTGATTGGTTTAATATGTATTCACAAATGTGCTGACATTATTTATACAATTATTACAATAACGCAGTATTCTGTATAACAGTAAATCTTCTATTTTTCATGTGAATAAAAATTCAAAATGGAAAGCAAGTGTAATATAGGAGGGGCCTGAGAACATGACTAATGAAGAGAAGAAAGACTGTTTTAGTGCCAGGAATGTCTAAATTGTTTATCCTGAACCCTATTTTGAAATTGGCAATTTTTTAATTTTGTGTGAAATTGGCCAAATTATTGATTTCTGATCACTTTACTGGTAGCTGAAATAGGTAAATGAGCAGGTTCTTGTACTCATTTGATACAATAGAAGGAATACAAGTGAAATAGTTGTGAGTTTGGTCAACTGCAACAATGAAATTTGCTGAAAATAGGGATCAAATTGGGTGAAATTGCCGATGCATAAATATTGCTGAGACCGATCAATTTGCGAGTGTAATTCTGTAATTTTTCCATCAAATTTCATGCTTTTGGTTTCATCACCTTCGGAAAAAGATTCTATTATCATTTCATAAGAAATTTTTTTTTTTTTTTAATTCTCCAACCCTGAGTGTAAGTTTCAGATTAGGAGTTCCAACTCTGAAATGATTAAGAAAATTTGTGTGCTCACAGGCTCCCAGTTAAGCTGCATACTAAAATAACTTCTTATTGGAATGAAAAAAAAATGTTGCCTGAACCCAATGAACGAAGAGGTGCCATTAGAGAAGACTGCATTAATATGCATTGTTCATCACACCTCGAACTTGCCATAGGTGATGTTGAAATAAAATATTATGTCAGTCCATCCTGGATCATTATCAAAGTACAAGTGACCTGTTCTAGCATGTTCTCCATGCATTTTTGCCTCAGGCTATTGAAATATATGATAGAGGAACTAAAGCAATTAAAAAATTACTGAAAATTTAATATCTATTATGGATCAGAAGGATCCTCACTCCCACAGCTTGGTCTCAGGCCAAGGTTCCTAAACTGAAAAAGAAATGCAGCATCACATGAATAAGAACTGTTAAGAAAGAGAAAGGAAGGCAAAGATAGATGTATAATGAATGTGAGTAGAAGTCTATAAGAGTTATCTATCATTATACATGCTCATGAGATACAAAAAGACTAGCAACCTTGGCAGAGTGCAAAACTTTTAACAGGTTTCTGTATCAAAACCATAAGATGATGGTAATAGCTCCCTTGATGGATGCTATCTATCAAGCTACCACTCTTATTACCATCTCTGTTAAGACCTTCCTTTTTCCCTCTTTCACAGGCACCAAAGTGCTAGTGTGAACAATCATAATGAATATTTGTACTGGGGAAAATGATTATATATCTTGGAAATTTTGTTTTGCTGTATGACCAATAGGACCTTAGCACTTATTTTTAATACAGTATAATAAAAATAAATGGAAATACTCTATGCCTACCACAGAGATGTCAGAACAATCTAGAAGACGATCCTTCAAGGTATAGGCGGCACCATGAGAGATGAGACAATCCCTCTCCATCTCTCCAAACCTGATTGCCCCTCCTCTTTTACGACCTTTCACTGGCTGCCGAGTTACTAAGTCAACAGCACCAGTGGCTCGAACCTAACAAATTAATAAGTAGAAAAATCTATGGTTAAAAATAAAAAAAAAATCACATTAATATTTGTTACCATTATCTCATATCTGAGTTAAGCCATTACAACTTTATTTCTGTAAAATGATAATATTTAATAAAGTACTGTGCTTTTCCTGACTATGGAACTGAACTTCTCCAGGCCGAGGGAGTGACAACCTCAAATTCTACGACTTCAAGGTGATGGACTGATTACATCGTCTTCACATCTCTACTGTTCCTGCCTACTTTCTGTATTCGACTGAAGAAGCCTACTGTGTAGGTGAAACGTTTCGGAATAAAGTTGCCTAACTGTTGCCTATGTGTCTTACTACCAACCAATAAATACTTCTATCTTAGCCCTTTCAGTGGCCGCCACTTAGAACAACGTCATTGAGTCCAGGGTCCCTGATGTAGTTCTACATCATGAGCTTAGCTCATTCAGATAAGCTATGAGTGGTAAATTTTGGCCTAGATACGAGAGAATGGATCTGTGCAGTGAGTGTGCACAGTATAAAAAAAAATGTAAAACTCTTGAAAGTGGTTTAAAATAGCAACACTGCAGTGATTTCTTGGATGTTTTTTATGGTTTTATTGGCTATTTGGAGGTATCATTTGACAGAATGGAAGACATGTTACAGAAATCAAGATTATTTCGGTTGGTTTCAGAACTAGAAGTAGCTTGAAACCGAACTCAAAATAGCAGAAATATCCAATCTGTTTCCAATATTCCTGAGGACAGGTAAGGCCCCCATACACCCCTACTTTGCTTTATGGGTTTTTAATAGGTCTGATTAAATTATTGGGACACTGTAAACCATGCCCAATTATTACTAGCTACATTTCATTATCTGAGAAACGAGTAAATCTTCTACTTTTTAATTGGTATTTTTTTAATTTTGTGTAAAACTGTCCAAATTACTGACTTCTGTGCATTTTATAGGATAGATGAGATAGCTGAATGGGCAATCAATTTCTTGTGCTCACTGTGCACTTTACAGGACAGTTGAAATAACTGAATGGGCAATTTCTTGTGCTTAATCAATAGAATGGAAGGCATTATGGTGAAATAGCTAAGAATTTGGTCAATTCAAGCAATGGAATTAGGGCTCAAAGTTGGCAAAATTGCCAATGTGAAAATTGCATCTAGAATGCTAACTTTGCTCCTGTGTAATTCAGTTAAGTTTTCCATCAAATTTTGTATTTTTAGTATAATTACCTTCAGAAAAGATTCTCTACCATTTCATAAGAAAAAATAATTAAAAAAAAAAAAAGTTGACACAGAGCAATATTAATTTCAGGGGTCTAAAGAGTGAAAGGGTTAGTGACAATAATTTTATCATCTGCAAAATGGACAGGTGCATAATTGTATGGGCATTAACTGACACTAAAGTTCTCATCTTACTTTCTAGGTCACTGCTATCACACCAACATGGATAGTATTGCCAGGCAACCACAGGGCACAGGGTGGGGGGGGATGATGAATGATGTTGCAACATCATTCATTCTCCCCTATGTTCCCCTGTGGTTGCCTTGCATTGATCACTAGTTTCTGATTGTTGCAACATGAATACTATTGTAAACACATGGGACACATCTTTTTTACTTAGCAAGGATGGACATCTCATTTAACTTACATAGACAGTGATTATGTATGACTGATGGTGAAAGTGTTTCTTTCTTTTTCGGGGTCACCCCTGCCTAGGTGGGAGACAGCCAACATGTTGGAAAAAAAAGATAAAAATAAAAAATAATTTATTATTATTATTTATTATCACACTGGCCGATTCCCACCAAGGCAGGGTGGCCCGAAAAAGAAAAACTTTCACCATCATTCACTCCATCACTGTCTTGCCAGAGGGGTGCTTTACACTACAGTTTTTAAACTGCAACATTAACACCCCTCTTTCAGAGTGCAGGCACTGTACTTCCCATCTCCAGGACTCAAGTCCGGCCTGCCGGACTTGAGTCCTAATTTATGTTGAGTATATTTGAAGCTGATACAGAGGCTCTCAATGGTAAGTGCAACAATATGGCACCTCCACAAGGGAGGTGCCTTGATGCCAGTAAGGCATTCTTGATCTAAGGAATTGGATGTAATCTCCCGAATGCCTCCCATTCCTCAGGTTTTATGACCCCTGCAGGTTTAGCGCTCCCTATGATTAAAATGAAAATTATTATCTTTATTTTCTCAATGTGGGTTTATTTATGCCACTGTTCAGTGTTTAATACACTTTTGTGTTTGGAAATTACAAGTGTTTTACTTTTTATAATAATGAGTATCATATTCACAGGAAAGTGCTGAACTTACAGAAGTCACATACCACTGGGAAATAGGAGGTATTGTATTTAAGTTCAACCACTGAACAAGTCATCTTGTAACAATACTTCAGGCTGTCAATTTCCTTGATTAAAACCAATAACAGCAGTAACTAACCAACCTGCCATTTATCGGCTGTCATGTGTCGCAAACGTTGGTAGTAAATAATGCCTTCAAATATTTCCACTTCCAGCATCCGGCCATCTATACCACTATACAAGACATCTTCACCATAGTAATTGAAGCCACCTGGCCAAAAAATGTATTATTATTAAACAAAATTATTATTTATTATTAACCGAAATTTTAAACACATGATTTTCACAAAAATTTAATTATTAATATAGGTACAAAAATAATATAACAGATATACTTAGAATAAATTAGGAAAGCAATGTTCATAATCACAAAGGTATTATTTAACTATTTTCAAAAGTTACCTTTCTCCAATATTTTTCCAAAGTAATCAACAGCAGGGTTTTCGTCAGAAAACTCAAATGGTGTTGAGTCAAATGATTTACCAAACTCCGCTGCTGACTTGCCAGCAACAAGCTCTAACAGCTTCCCTGGAAGGAAAATTTAAATTCAAAACTATTTCCCACCAAAGAAGAGTGGCCCAAAAATCTTGCACAAAGTGCACGAACATGATAACTCAAATGACCCACTGAACTGCAACATCCCACCCTTCTCAAGTTCAGCATGCAGATAGTGTACTTCCCACCACCAAAACACAAGACCAGCTACCCAGTTTCCCTCAGATCCCTTTGTATGTTACCTTGTTCACACTTCATCTACATATCAAGCCATAAAAACACTTCACTGTCAGCTAACATGCTCACACATGCTAAAAGGATACTAGTATTCAAAGCCTCCTTTACTCCCTTCTTCCAACAATTCCAGGGATGACCCCCTAACCCTCCGCCCTTCCATCCTAGATTTACATATCGTCTTGGTCATTGTATTTTGCTTATCCTCTCTCAATACCCAAACCACCTCAACAATGACAAAGGCAGAAAAAGCCCAAAAAAAGAAACATACATTCACCATGACAATGCCTGCACTCTGAAGGAGGGGCAGGGATATGGCAGTTTGGAGGGGCATCTGAGCTGTAGTGTCAGTACGCCTATGGCAAGATGGTGATGCAGCAATGGTGAAAAAAATCAATTATGATGCACATATTTATCATTCTTGAAACAGTAATGTGAGTACATAGCACAAATTGCTTCCAAGGTGTGGCGACCTCCTGCCAAACTAGTGGTTAGACTGTTAACATGCCAGCCTGCAGTACCACTGGGTACGTCATCAAACCCAATGTGAGGACTGCTAAGCCGGCCTTAGAGACAGCATTTACCAGGCCATCTTACGGTATACATCTACTGGCAGTAGATAGTATTCACCTGACCACCTTACGGTGTATATCTACTGGCCTTAGAAGCAGTATTCACCAGACCATCTTACGGTATACATCTACTGGCCTTATAGAGAGTATTCACCAAACTACCTCACGGAGTACATTTGAAAGTGATGTCTACGGACTCACTGCTGACTTCAGTCAACTGCAGGCCTCCTGGCTGCAGTTACTTGTCACTCAGATCCCTGTGGACTTCAGTTACCTGAGGGCTTCGCTTAGTCTACTGGCTTCAGTTATTGTGGGCCTCAGGACTTGGTTATCTGTGGGCCTCTGGTTGTAGTTTTACTGGCCAGTTTTGAAAACTTCAACCTGCAGGCCTTGGTGAAATTTACTGGCATCCTGCTGATCTACCGGAGTGTACTGTTTGGCTGTCCTCGAAGGAGAAAGATGCTATGCAGGCAACACAGCCAAGAAAGTGTTATAACAGAGACAAGGGCATCATGTGGACACAGTAGAGATGGTGTGTGTGTGACGCAGAGACAAGGGTGTCAAGTGGACACAGTAGAGATGGTGTGTGTGACGCAGAGAAAAGGGTGTCGTGGGACACGGTAGAGAAGGAGTGTCGTGTGACACAGAGATAAGGGTGTCGTGTGACACGGAGAGGAGCGTCATAACACGGACAAGGGTGTTGTGTGACACGGAGCGTCATAACACGGACAAGGGTGTCGTGTGATACGGAGAGAAGGAACATCATAACACGGACAAGTGTTTCGTGTGACACGGTGAGAAGGAGCATCATAACACAGACAAGGGTGTCGTGTGACACAGTAGAGAAAGTGTTATAATACTGAGAAGGGAGTGTAGTATAACTCCATGGAACTAGTGTTGTACGACTGAGTGTGACACAGCAGTGTCAAGAACGTCGTACCCCTGCGTGTGGTAGGGTCACGAGTTGATTATAATTTATTATTTTAGGATTTATATATATATATATATATATATATATATATATATATATATATATATATATATATATATATATATATATATATATATATATATATCTGTACAAAGATATTAATTATAATTTATTATTGTAGCATGTATATATATGTACCAAAGATAATAGGTTTATATCAGATGTTATTATATTAAAGATTATTTATTATAGAATACCTCTAGACCAAAGATTGTTTTTATATGATAGTAAAAATGATAAATTGTTTTATGTTTATTCAGGATCCCAAACTCTCATATTACTGCACTAGTATAAGGCCAACTAGTGTTCTTGTAATACAAGGAAAGCACTAACCTGCAGTCATACGGGAAGGAATACCATGAGGGTTGAAGATGATGTCTGGTATTATGCCTCGTTCAGAAAAAGGAAGATCTTCAGCAGGATACAAGCGACTCATAATGCCTTTCTGACCACTACGGCTGGCAAACTTGTCTCCTATACTGGGATTTCTCTGCAAAAAATAACAAAAAATCTGCTCTAGAAGTCTAAAGTTCTTTAGATTAGCCCTTCAATTTTAATTAATATTTTTAAAAAGCTAGGTAGTAGGTTGGTAGACAGCAACTGCCCAGGGAGATACCACCGACTGCCAAGTGAGTGTGAAACGCAAGCTTGTACAGTGGACCCTCATTTTTCGTAAGGCTTGAAAGTCGTAATTTTTGAAAATCGCAACTTTTTTTTTGTCAAAACATTGACTCAAAAATTGTTGTTTGACTCGCAAATAGTCGTTTGTCTCGGACGCATATGCACAGCCCCGAGCAACCTCACACTCCATTCCCAGCCAATGTGCCAGTGTTTATCAGTGAGTGAGGATGATCCCACGAGTTCATACGATACTTTTCATAATATTCCATTCGTTTTAGTGCTTGCAACTGCTAAATAAGCCATCATGTCTCCAAAGAAAGCTTCTAGTGCCAGCCCTTTGGTAAAGAATGTGAGAAACACATATAATTTAAGAAAAAAATTGTAGAAAAATATGAAAGTGGTGGTGGTAGAGTGGTAGCAGTTGTGATAGTGGTAGAGGGTGGTAGTGATGGTGGTAGAGGGTGGTAGTGATGGTGGTAGAGGGTGGCAGCAGTTGTGATAGTGGTAGAGGGTGGTACTGATGGTGGTATCAGTTGTGATAATGGTAGAGGGTGGTAGAGGGTGGTAGCAGTTGTGATAGTGGTAGCAGTTGTGATAGTGGTAGAGGGTGGTAGTGATGGTAGTGGTTGTGATGGTGGTAGAGGGTGCCTTCTTCAGTGATTCAGCGATACTACTAACTCCTCCAATGTTGTTGGAGTTATATAGGGCTACAGAAAAAACCACAGCCTCAGCTGCTGCTTCACCACCATTACGGACAGCTTATGCTCTCAGTGGCCCTTATACACCCAACAACAACACAACACCTCTCGTAACATACATAATGATTTATTTTATTCATTCTAGAGAAAAAAAGAAAAACGAAAGTTTCCCTTTTTAAATTTAGCAATTTATACAGGAGAATGAGTTACTAGCCCCTTGCTCCCGGCATTTTAGTCGCCTCTTACAACACGCATGGCTTACGGAGGAAGAATTCTGTTCCACTTCCCCATGGAGATAAGAGGAAATAAACAAGAACAAGAACTATACACAAATAACCCGCACATAGAAGAGAGGAGCTTACGACGACGGTTCGGTCTGACTTGGACCATTTACAAAGTCACACTAACGAGAAGTAGAGGACAGGTATGTATTATCTTTTTTTTTTTTTTCTTTTAACACACCGGCCGTATCCCACCGAGGCGGGGTGGCCCAAAAGAAAAAAACGAAAGTTTCTCCTTTTACATTTAGTAATACACCTACCATCCGACTTATGACCTGCTCGACTTACGACCACTCGACTTACGACTGTGTTTTTTATGCCAAATTTCTGGGAAATAAACAACTATTTGTGTTGTACACAGTGTTTATCCTAAACCTTACAGTATAAAATACAGTACTAACAACATAAAAAGTGAAGTAAAACATGAAATACCAAAATAAAATAATAAAATAAAGTCATTACAAAAATGTTTTGTTGATATTCAGTAGTAAAGTTCGACTTACGACCATTTCAACTTACGACCGGTTTCTCGGAACCGAACTCGGTCGTAAGTTGGATGGTAGGTGTATATACAGGAGAAGGGGTTACTAGCCCCTTGCTCCTGGCATTTTAGTCACCTCTCACAACACGCATGGCTTACGGAGGAAGAATTCTGTTCCACTTCCCCATGGAGGTAAGAGGAAATAAACAAGAACAAGAACTAGAAAGAAAATAGAAGAAAACCCAGAGAGGTGTGTATATATATGCTTGTACATGTATGTGTCCTAGGTAGTAGGTTGGTAAACAGCAACTGCCCAGGGAGGTACTACCGTCCTGCCAAGTGAGTGTACAACGAAAACCTGTAATTGTTTTACATGATGGTAGGATTGCTGGTGTCTTGTCTGTCTCATAAACATTTCAGTGGACCCCCGGTATTCGATGGCATCGGTATTCGATAAATCCGGTATTCGATGCATTATATCACAAAAAATTTTCCTCGGTATTCGATTGAAAACCCGGTATTCGATACGATTCGTACGAGACCTGTCTACGTGTGGCCTGAAATGCCCCATGCGTGCCAGTGTTTACAAGCCAGCCAGTGTGCGCGCATCTAAGGATACATTCGGTACATTCCATATTATCCATATTATCACTGTGTTTGGTGCTTGTTTCTGCAAAATAAGTCACCATGGGCCCCAAGAAAGCTTCTAGTGCCAACCCTTCGAGAAAAAAGTCGCTAATGACTTATGAAATGAAGAAAGAGATAATTGCAAAGTACAAAAGTGGAGTGCGTGTGTCGGAGCTGGTTAGGTTGTATAATAAACCCCAATCAACCATCTCTACTATAGTGACCAAGAAAACAGCAATCAAGGAAGCTGTTCTTGCAAAAGGTGCAACTGTGATTACGAAACAGCGACCGCAAGTGTTAGAAAATGTTGAGAGATTGTTATTGGTGTGGATAAATGAAAAACAGATAGCAGGAGATAGCATCTCTCAAGCGATCATTTGTGAAAAGGCTAGGCAGTTGCATGACGATTTGGTAAAGAAATTGCCTGCAACTAGTGGTGATGTGAGTGAATTTAAGGCCAACAAAGGTTGGTTTGAAAGATTTAAGAATTGTAGTGGCATACATAGTGTGATTAGGCATGGTGAGGCTGCCAGTTATGTTGTGCGACAGAAGTCCAGTGACTCTCAAGCTGGTCCTAGTGGCAATAAAAAAAGAAGGGAAGTAACCCCGGAAAAGGACTTGCTACCTCAAGTCCTAATGGAAGGGGATTCCCCTTCTAAACACTAACACCTCTCCCCTCCTCCCATCCCATCAATCATCACCAGATCTTCATTAACCCTTTGAGGGTCGACAGGCCCTCTCCGAGACTCGTTCTCAGGGTCGGCCAAATTTAAAAAAAAAAAATAATTTTTTCTCATGAAAGGATAGAGAGTCTTTTCCCAATCATAATGACACCAAAAATATGAAATTTGATGGAAAGCTTATGGAATTAAGCTCTCGCGAAGTCAGCGGTCTCGGCGATGTTTACGGATCGGCGATTTTGCCCACTTTGAGCCTCATTTTCGGCCAGTTCCACTGTACTAGTCGACAAAAAACATGAATATTTCGCTAGAACTCCATTTTTTCTATTGAATGAGTGCAAGAAACCACCCATTTACCAATTTCAACTTTCCAGTACAGTGGTCAGAATTTAGCAATTTTGCCAATTTCACACAAATTTCAAAAGATGCCAATTTCCGAATACGGTCCAGAACAAACAAGAAACACATTCCTGGCACTAAAATGACATTTCCTCTGTTCATTAGTCACGTCTCAAGGCCCCTCTTACATTCTTTTGCTTTCCACTCTGAATTTTTATTCTCACAAAAAATAGAAGATTTACTGTTATGCAGACTACTGCATTAGTGTAAAAAATGGTATGAATCATATTGGCGCACTTGCAAAAGAATATTAGACTCACCAGTTGACGTGTATTGGACGCTTGACATGATTTGTTTACTTTTGAACTTCGGCAAAAATCGAACATTTCTGCTACTTTGAGCTCAATTTCAAGGTACTTTTCCTTGTAAAACCAGTCAAAATCATCTCAATTTCTACGATATGCCTTCCATTCTATAAAATGAGACTAAGAAAACTAGAATACAACAATAAATACCATACGAAAATACAGTGCAAAGTCGCTGTTTTATTCCAAAAAAAACGGTCAAAGTTTTTTTTTTCTCATTATGCACTGTGTGCTGCAGGATTTTTTTTATACCGTGCACACTGACCACATAGACCCATTCTTTCATATGGAGGCCTACCAGCTTTCTCCCACTAGATTTGAGGGCACTAGAATTTAGGCGTACTAGTACGTCAAAAACCCTGGGTCGTAAGCCGTACTAGTACGTCCGAAACCCTCAAAGGGTTAAAGGTAAGTGTTAATTATTTTATTGTTATTGTAATTATTCTTTTGCATTAAACTTAATATTTCATGTAGTAAAATTTTTTTTTTCATACTTTTGGGTGTCTTGCACGGATTAATTTGATTTCCATTATTTCTTATGAGGAAAATTGATTCAGTTTTCGATATTTTCGGTATTCGATGAGCTCTCAGGAACGGATTAATATCGAATACCGGGGGTACACTGTACAGGCTTCCGTTTTACACTCACTTGGCAGGACGGTAGTACCTCCCTGGGCGGTTGCTGTCTACCAACCTACTACCTAGGAGGTATATATATACCCGTCCTGCTCTACTTCTCGTTAGTGTGACTTTGTAAATGGTCGAAGTCGGACCGAAACGTCGTCGTAAGCTCCTCTCTTCTATGTGCGGGTTATTTGTGTATCGTTCCAGTATTGTGCCTTTTTTGTTATTAACAAGAACTAGAAAGAAAATAGAAGAAAACCCAGAGGGGTGTGTATATATATGCTTGTACATGTATGTGTAGTGTGACCTAAGTGTAAGTAGAAGTAGCAAGACATACCTGAAATCTTTCATGTTTATGAGACAGACAAAAGACGCCAACAATCATACCATCATGTAAAACAATTACAGGCTTTCATTTTACACTCACTTGGCAGGACGGTAGTACAATAGACCCATGTACACAAAAATAACGAAGTTTTTCTAATGAATATGACAACAGCAATTAAAATCACTTAATGAAAAGTAAGTCTGTGTTCATAACCAGATTTTAACTGTAAATACAATAACAGTTTATAAGAAATAAATCACTGTCATTAATTATTAAAAAATGGGAATGCTAATACACTAAATGATAAGAGTAAGCAAGTAGTGAACACAATAACAGCATTACCAACCTTGATTCTTAATGTTATGCTGACTCGTTGACACTCCCCAGTATTGAGAGTGGCAGCCATGATGGAGTATTTATCCACAACACAGTCTTCACCTTTGTATATTGTGACATTAAAGCTTCTTTGGCGAAGATCGTACACACTACATGAAGTTATCATCAAATAAAGTACAAAAATCAGCCTCTGGAATCTCATATACAGTGATGCTAAAATTTATAATATAATTCAGAGATAAGCATGGATCATTACTTCTTGTGTAATGTTTCTGTGATCAGTTCTGACAGACACAGTGTAACACTAATTTTATGAACTCAGATTCCTAAAATGGCAAAATATATACATTGTAATGTAGGAGCCAAGAGAGGTTTAACCCTTTAACTGACCAAAGAATTTACATATGCCCTTACTGCTAGCGCTCCAAACTTAGATCGACATTTTGTTTTTCCTTCCTCCAAACTTGGCACAATAGGCCTAGTATAGAATGGGTCTTAACACTCAGTGTGTGCAGTATTAAAAAAGTCTGGGACCACTTAGTACCTTGTGGGAGCACCAGTTCAATTGAGTGCCAGCTAGAGCAATCTGCATGGCAAACCCTAGGGATTCACTAATGCCATGCCATATTAACACACTCTTTGTAAAAGGAAAGTGATGCTGACCCTGAGTTTAGTGGCTTTGAGATGGATGTGGCCACAAGTGGTCAAGGAAATATCAAAAACCTAGATAATAACCCATGTGCAACATCTGTGCTGCATCCTTTCAATTTTGATACCAATGGTAGTGTCATCCTGCCATAATGTCCTGTAACCTATGCCCTGAGTAAACAGTAACAATTCCGTAACATGTATAATACGTATTAGGCTGGCTGGCTGGCTTTGGCAAGCCAGCTTTGGTTTATTCTCAAGTAGTTAAGTACCTTAATGACAACAGCATTCTCCATAGCTATCAATCGGGCTTTAGAAGACCCTACTCAACCGACACCTCCCTTATTAATCTGATGAATTACCTGAGAACTGAAATGTCAAAGGGGAACCTCATAGGTATGGTAACCTTAGACCTGCAAAAGGCCTTCGATACTGTCAACCACAATATATTATGTAAGAAACTTCAAGCTATTGGTATAGGTTCTGTAGACTGGTTTAAGTCCTACCTTAGCAACAGGAGACAAATAGTCAAAATCAACAAAACGGAATCAGAACCCCTGCCGATAACATGTGGAGTTCCCCAAGGCAGTATTCTGGGTCCCTTATTATTCTTATGTTATGTCAATGATATGCCTATCAGTGTCAAGTGCAAACTCCTACTGTATGCAGATGACAGTGCTCTGTTAGTGACAGGTAAAGACCCACAAGATATTGCTAATGTTTTAACACTGGAACTGGAGTCCTGCAGCAAATGGTTAGTAGACAACAAACTATCATTACACCTAGGGAAAACTGAAGCCATTCTCTTTGGCACGAAACATAAACTGAGAAGGGTAAATAATTTTAATGTTCAGTGTAATGGGGAGCCCATCACTTTGGTTTCATCAGTAAAATATCTGGGAATCCCCTTTGACCCATGTATGTCAGGAGAATTGAAAGGAACAGTGTAGTACAGAAAGCGAATGCCAGACTGAAGTTCCTGTATAGACAAGTACAGTGTCTACCTACTGAGGCTCGCAGGACCCTATGTCTAGCCCTTATACAATGCCATATGGATTACGCTTGCTCTTCATGGTACTCTGCCTTGACAAAAAAACTGAAAGATAGACTGCAAATCGCCCAGAACAAAATCGTAAGATTCATCCTGGGGCTGGGACAAAGAGAACATGTAGGCCAGGATGAATTACAGCAGTTAGATATGCTGAATGTTGAAGACAGAGTAAAACAACTGAAGCTAAATCATGTTTATAAAATTGCTCACAAACAGTGTCCAGAATATCTTGCTGTCAATTTTGTCAAGGTTGGGAACCAAAGCAATCATAGTACTAGGGGGAGAGAGCACAACTTCGTAGTACCCACAGTCATTGGCCAGGCGTCAAACACCTTTATTGTACAGCAATAAAGGAATGGAACAGACTACCTGCACATGTCAAAGCCAGTCATAGCATGAACCAGTTCAAGAAGAGTGCCAAAAGGTGTCTGATAAATGTAGTACAGAAAGGGAGGGGAATGATTTTCTATTTTTTAGCTAACATACGTGTAAATTTTACCTTATTCCTAGTAATGACCCTCGTATTGTAGATAGTCTTAATGACCCTCGTGTAGTAGATAGTCTTTTTAGTATGATAATAAGATGTTATCTTCATTGTAGAATAATAAGAAAATATTATAACCTTTATATTATAATAATAAGGTAAAAGGACCCAATGGAAATAAGTCACTCTGTCTGACTTTTTTGGGTTATCCTAGGTTCTCTACACATATGCTGCTATGTATGATAATTCTATGTAACTGTATTTGTGTATACCTGAATAAACTTACTTACTTACTTACTTGGCTGGCTGGTTGGCTTTGGCTGGTTAGCTAGCTCTCCCTATCTGTCTCTACCTCTATCTCTGTCTGCCTGTCTTTGTCCCAGAGAGAGCTGCTCATAAACCAGAATCAAGGACTAAGTTTATTTAGGCACAGGTACACATAAGTACAGTTATCATATATAGTGTAAATTACCTAGGATAACCCAAAAGAGCCAGATAAAGTGCTATACTATGCTTTTTGATATGAAGCATAAGCATGACTGGCAAGTAATACGCATTTCCACTTGTTCAGACGTGACAATTCTGCAATATGTGTAATAGCTGTTGGTTGATGAGTGGCTCTCTCTGAGACAGAGAGAGAGAGAAAAAAAAGAGACAGGGAGACTGTGAGAGAGAGAGACACAGGCAAACTGAGTGAGAGACAGGCAGATGACAGACAGACAGATAAGCAGACAGAGATAACAGAAAGAGCTAGACAGACAGAGACAGATAGACAGAGACAGACAGATATGTTTATGTGTAACAGTGAGAAAAATAAAACAACATGCCAAGGCTCACTGGGAGCAGTGCATGATCAGCAATACTGGGTGGCTGCATCGTCAGCAGTGTAGAGTGACACGTCTGACACCTTACTTGGGGGTTTCATACTCTGGCACTTCTAAAGATATTGCTGGGACCTATAAATAATTTTGTATATAATTCTGGACAATAGTATGTGACCAAGACAGGTGAACATGTTCACCTGTCAGTGCGTGTTTGTGACTATTTGATTACTAATTCAATACCTAATATTAGTGTCAGAACACAGACTGGCTATAAAATTCACAAAAACTACTTTAAATTGTAATTATCAGAACATTAAAATTATGTAAATTAAAAAAAAAAACGAGAAAATAAAGTGTATCGGCAACATTTCTGCAAGTGACACAACTCCATATTGCTGTCAGGTGAGAATCCAGTGAAAATTTCACCACCTTATATCTCGATAAGTACTGCCTCTAAATTTTTTTTTTGGTCTTATTACACACAGAAAATTACCTTCTTTGGTTTAAAAAATAAAATAATTTTTTTTTTCCAAAATATTTGGAGTGCTAGCAGTGACAACATAGATCAACATTTGGGCATTTAAAGGGCTAAAAGACCTAACCCAATCATTTGTTGTGGAGTCACTCTCACTGACATGACAAAAATAAGATCATATATCTTACCAATAATATGGATCACCATCAGTGAGCTGTGTTCCTGGGTAAGGAAGTCCATTACTGTCTAAAAACAATTTCTGTTGAAGTATGTCTGGATTTCTTCTGAATACATGAATAACCTGAAATTTTCTTTTTATTATTAATTTGATATACAGTAACTGTCTATCAGCTCCATTATGTAAATATCTACCCATATTTCAGATCAGGATGATGAATGTTAAATCTCCTCCAGATCAATAACTGTGTTAGTAACTGTCAAGCTGTATGAATGAGTTAATCAAGGATAGCACTGAGGAAAACAAAAGGCAAACTACACCATCATTTGTCTAATACTCCATATATACAACCTGGAGACAGCTAACAATGCAGGAATGCCCTGATACCTCAACAGAGAGACTGAGTACCAATACTGTTCGAGATTTATTCCAGACCCCAAATCCACATCAATGTTCTAACAATAAAAATTTAGCTTTAGGCTTTGCATATGGTATCTTCTCCTCTCAGTTTATTTTTTTTAACAAATCATCATCTCATCATTTTTTCTAACACACCAGCCATCTCCCACTGAGGAAGGTGACCCAAAAAAGAAGAAAACCCTTTCACCATCACTGTCTTGCCAGAGGCGTGCCAATACTACAGTTCAGATGCCGATCCAGACTGCAATAAATCCAACCCTCCTTCAGAGTACAGGTGCTGTATTTTTCACTCTAGGGCTCATGTCTGGCTAACCGGTTTCATTGAATCCCTTCATAAATGTTACCGTGTTCACATTCCAACAGCACATCAAATCATAAAAACTACTTGCTTCCATTCACTCCTAACATATTCACACATGCCTGTTGGATGTCCAAACCCCTCACATACAACACCTCCTTTACCCCCCTCCTCCCTAGAGCCTTTTGTAAGACAACCCCTACTCCTCCTTTCCTCCATTACAATTTATACATCCAATTGGCTTCTTCACCTCTAAATGTCGAAACCACCTGAATAACAATTCCTGTTGATATTTTGAAGTGAGTTAAACAAGTTAAGAAAGCCTAGGGAAAGTATGGATTTGTCAGTTAAAAACAGAGTAGGGGAGTTAGTAGATGGGGAGAGGGAGGTATTAGGTAGATGGCGAGAATATTTTGAGGAACTTTTAAATGTTGAGGAAGAAAGGGAGGCGGTAATTTTATGCACTGGTCAGGGAGGTATACCATCTTTTAGGAGTGAAGAAGAGCAGAATGTAAGTGTGGGGGAGGTACGCGAGGCATTACGTAGAATGAAAGGGGGTAAAGCAGCTGGAACTGATAGGATCATGACAGAAATGTTAAAAGCAGGGGGGGATATAGTGTTGGAGTGGTTGGTACTTTTGTTTAATAAATGTATGAAAGAGGGGAAGGTACCTAGGGATTGGCGGAGAGCATGTATAGTCCCTTTATATAAAGGGAAAGGGGAAAAAAGAGATTGTAAAAATTATAGAGGAATAAGTTTATTGAGTATACCAGGAAAAGTGCACGGTAGGGTTATAATTGAAAGAATTAGAGGTAAGACATAATGTAGGATTGTGGATGAGCAAGGAGGTTTTAGAGTGGGTAGGGGATGTGTAGATCAAGTGTTTACATTGAAGCATATATGTGAACAGTATTTAGATAAAGGTAGGGAAGTTTTATTGCATTTATGGATTTAGAAAAGGCATATGATAGAATGGATAGGGGAGCAATGTGGCAGATGTTGCAAGTATATGGAATAGGTGGTAAGTTACTAAATGCTGTAAAGAGTTTTTATGAGGATAGTGAGGCTCAGGTTAGGGTGTGTAGAAGAGAGGGAGACTACTTCCCGTTAAAAGTAGGTCTTAGACAGGGATGTGTAATGTCACCATGGTTGTTTAATATATTTATAGATGGGGTTGTAAAAGAAGTAAATGCTAGGGTGTTCTGGAGAGGGGTGGGATTAAATTATGGGGAATCAAATTCAAAATGGGAATTAACACAGTTACTTTTTGCTGATGATACTGTGCTTATGGGAGATTCTAAAGAAAAATTGCAAAGGTTAGTGGATGATTTTTGGGAATGTGTGTAAAGGTAGAAAGTTGAAAGTGAACATAGAAAAGAGTAAGGTGATGGGGGTATCAAATGATTTAGATAAAGAAAAATTGGGATATAAAATTTGGGGGAGGAGGAGTAGGGAAGAAGTAAATGTTTTCAGATACTTGGAGTTGACGTGTCAGCGGATGGATTTATGAAGGATGAGGTTAATCATAGATTGATGAGGGAAAAAAGGTGAGAGGTGCTTGAGGTATATGTGGAGCCCAAAAAACGTTACTATGGAGGCAAGAAGGGAATGTATAAAGTTAGTAGTACCAACACTCTTATATGGGTGTGAAGCTTGGGTGGTAAATGCAGCAGCAAGGAGACGGTTGGAGGCAGGGGAGATGTCCGGGTCTAAGGGCAATGTGTGGTGTAAATATTATGCAGAAAATTCGGAGTGTGGAAATTAGGAAAAGGTGTGGAGTTAATAAAAGTATTAGTCAGAGGGCAGAAGGGGGGTTGTTGAGGTGGTTGGTCATTTAGAGAGAATGGATCAAAGTAGAATGACATGGAAAGCATAAAAATCTATAGGGGAAGGAAGCGAGGTAGGGGTCGTCCCGAAAGGGTTGGGAAAGAGGGGTAAAGAGGTTTGGTGGGCAAGGGGCTTGAACTTCCAGCAAGCGTGCGTGAGCGTGTTAGATAGGATTTGAATGAGACGAATGGTACTTGGGACCTGACGATCTGTTGGAGTGTGAGCAGGGTAATTTTTTAGTGAAGGGATTCAGGGAAGGGTTTATTTTCATATAGTCGGACTTGAGTCTGGAAAGGGAAGTACAATGCCTGCACTTTAAAGGAGGGGTTTGGGATTTTTGGCAGTTTGGAGGGATAGTTGTGTATCTTTATACGTATATGCTTCTAAACTGTTGTATTCTGAACACCTCTGCAAAAACAGTGATTATGTGGAGTGTGGTGAAAGTGTTGAATGATGATGAAAGCATTTTCTTTTTGGGGATTTTCTTTCTTTTTTGGGTCACCCTGCCTCGGTGGGAGGCGGCCGACTTGTTGAAAAAAAGAAAAAAAAAAAATTCAGGGAAACCGGTTATTTTCATATAGTCGGACTTGAGTCCTGGAAATGGGAAGTACAATGCCTGCACTTTAAAGGAGGGGTTTGGGATATTGGCAGTTTGGAGGGATATGTTGCATATCTTTATATCTGGAGTTTCTGGAGTGAGTTCCGGGGGTCAACGCCCCCGCGGCCCGGTCTGTGACCAGGCCTCCTTAGGTCAGTGTCCCAGGATGCGACCCACACCAGTCGACTAACACCCAGGTACCCATTTTACCGATGGGGAACATAGACAACAGGTGGAAAGAAACACGTCCAATGTTTCTACTCTGGCTGGGAATCGAACCCAGGCCCTCATCGTGTGAAGCGAGAGCGTTAACCACCAGGCCACCAGGCTTCTAAACTGTTGTATTCTGAGCACCTCTGCAAAAACAGTGATAATGTGTGAGTGTGGTGAAAGTGTTGAATGATGATGAAAGTATTTTCTTTTTGGGGATTTTCTTTCTTTTTTGGGTCACCCTGCCTCGGTGGGAGACGGCTGACTTGTTCAAAAAAAAAAAAAATTGTTATACAATAAAACAGTGCAGTACAGTACCTCATTAGGATTTACTTTGAGCCTTTCCTGAAGCAAGGTCAAGTCTACAAACTCTGTCTTGTATATCTGACCGTGTCCCAGGCCACGCTCCATTGAACATTTATTCAGAACCATTGCATCTTCCATATCATATCCCTAAATAAGAAACAATAAAGATATATTTTAATACCACATAACAAGCCATAAATTTTATTAATTACAGTCATGGAGAGCACTAAACCTGTGAGGATTATTCAGCATTACACTGGAGAAGTGAAAGATGTAGCAGAGAGTGAGAAGTTGAGGTGTTCATGTAAAGATCTTGACAGGCACAAGGAAGAATTTAGATTTGATAGATATTTTTCTTGTATCAGTTGAAAGCTTCGGTCATAACCCTCAGCTTTTTAAATTCATAATTTTTTATGTCCAAATATAGACCATGTACCCAGAAATATCAAGAAAGAAAAAGGTCAAGGTTCTGCATTTCTCCAAGCATTGTGGGCCAATTTGCTAAGCATTACAAAATTACCATTTAACTATTTGAAGTACAATATCTATATACAGGTCCTCCATCACAAATCCGGCATCATTGGGACCTGTAGTGTGCCGGATTACTGAGTTTGCCGAATTACAGAGTGGTTAAGTTAGGATACACTTAATAAAATTAACCAACTTGACTTACACAGTTCATTGAACATCGGCAAAAATCGAACATTTCCACTACTTTGAGCTCAATTTCAAGGTACTTTTCATCATGAAAGCAATCAAAATCATGTCTATTTCTGTAATATATCTTCCATTATATCAAATGAGTCCAAAAAATGAGAATACAACCATAAAAACTACACGAAAATATACTGCAATGACGCGGCTAATGGCTGAGAAGTGAACTCCCTTATTTATCGTCCGTCATTTTTATTTTTGTTGTACGTTAAGAAGCATCTTTCCATCATATATTGCCTAAGTTTCAATGAGATAGCCCAACAAACAACCGAGAAAAAAAAAAAAATATTTACCAAAAATCATATATGGCAAGCCCAAGCCAGGTACTGGAAATAAGTCACTTTGTCTGACTTTTCTGGGTTATCCTAGGTTCTCTATACATACACTGCTATGTATGATAATCTATGTAACTGTATTTGTGTGTACCTGAATAAACTTATTTACTTCTACTCTGTCAACTGAGTACAAGAAACCGCCCATTCACTTATTTCAACTACCCAATCAAGTGGTCAGAAATTGGCAATTTGGCCGATTTCACACAAATTTCAACAGATGCCAATTTCAAAATAGGATCCAGAATAAACAATGTAGACATTCCTGGCACTAAAATAACATTTTCTCTGTTCATTAATCACGGCTACAGGCCCCTTTTATATTACTCTTGCTTACTATTTGGAATTTTGATTCACAAAAAAAAAAAAAAAAAAGATTTACTGTTATGCAGACTACTGCATTATTGTATTAATTGTATAAATAATGTCAATCCATTCTTGACTCCGTACTGGAATTTGGACTGGCAGGCGGACAGGTATTGGACGGTGACGTCATTTGTTTACTCTTGAGCTTCGCTAAAGAATAGAACATTTTCGCTACTGTGAGCGCAATTTCAAGGTACTTTTCATCATGAAAGCAATCAAAGTCATATCTATTTCTGTAATATATCTTTCATTCTATCAAATGAGACCAAAAAAATGAGAATATAACCATAACAACCATACAAAAATATACCGCTAAGCAGCCGCTAATGGCTGAGAAGTGAACTCCACTATTTATGGTCTGATTTCTTTCATTTTTAGTGTACGTGAAGAAGTATCTTTCCATCATACATTGCCCAAGTTTGAATAGATAACCCAACAAACAACTGAGAAATTAATAATAATATAATAATAATAATAATAATAATAATAATAATAATAATAATAATATCTTTATTTACTACACGTATATGTACAAGGTATACAGGCCTAGCTGACATCAGTAAGTAAGTTTATTCAGGTATACACAAATACAGTTACATAGCAGCATATGTGTAGAGAACCCAGGATAACCCAAAAAAGTTAGACAGAATGACTTATTTCCATTGGGGTCCTTTTACCTTATTATTATTATAATATAAATGTTATAATATTTTCTTATTATTCTATAATGAAGATAACATCTTATTATCATACTAAAAAGACTATCTACAATACAAGGGTCACTATTTACAATACGAGTGACATACTCCTGTATAGAAAGTCACTTGTTATGCCGAGTATTTCAAGAAAATCAGGTCAGTGTCCCAGGATAACACCCACACTAGTCGGTTAACACCCAGGTACCCATTTATTGATGGGTAAACATAGACAACAGGTGTAAAGAAACACGCCTACTGTTTCTACCCTGGCTGGGAATCGAATATTTACAAAAAATCATATATGGCTAATCCAAGCCAGGTACTAAAAATAAGCCACATTGACTTTTTTGGGGTTATCCTAGGTTCTCTACACATATGCTGCTATGTGTGATAATCTATAGAGAGAAAATAACTTTTTTGTTTCATGTTTATGGTGGAGTACGAGTGTATATCATAGTTAGCCCTGTGCTATACTCCGTTTTCTCTAATATAAGCCACCAAGACAGGGATAGGAGAATGGTATTTGTATACCATATCCTCTTCGTAACTCTGTTGAACTGCTCGGTGTCATGCCAAATATTATTCATTCTGGAGTATTTAACATGTTTTATGTTATTTATTTGTTTCTTATGTCAAAATTAGATCAACTGTGATGGGCAAATAAGCTGTAGTGTTGATATTAGCATAATAATAAAGCATATTCTCCTGCATCATGAGACTGAGCTCATGACAACCGACAGTGGCTTCAAAGCCACCTTATCTTTAATGGATAATGTACTGTGTAGGTGCTTTACATAATGAGAAGCATTTCTTTTATTCAATGGAACCATGGCTAGGGTTAAAAGTAAGCAGGTTAAAACAATAAATGGAGAAAAAGAAATTGGAATGACTTATGCAGCAAGTAGCGCCACCACACAGTACCAGCAGGTTGGTGTGGCGACCCTGGAAATTTGAAATTATGCTAGCCAAAATTAGTGCTGAATAACTGAAGGAATTGAATAACTGATTGCCGGATTTGTGACGGCGGACCTGTACTAAAAACTTTGACCCATGTTTAAATTCAAGGCAATTAAAAGACTTATATTTTTATAAGAATTTACAAAACATAAACAACTCTTGATATATATTAAGTAAACACTACTCACTTAATAAGTAAAATCTTTTAGAAAGATAAAAACATACATACAGTGTATGAAACTATGGCAACAACAGCATTGAAGCCCATACAGAAATCTTCCATGTTCATGTCATCATAGTGTGAGTTTCTGACCAAGGGCACCTGTGGATACTGTAGTCGATATACTTTCCCAGTAGTTTGACTTCTCCAGTTGTGGAATGGGGTTCCCATTGCTTGTTTACCCATCTACAAAATGTATATGCATTACACAGTTTTATATAAATATTTATGGCAAGAGACAAATTTTCAATGTTTATTTGGCAGAAAAGGCCCTTGCTTTTTATGCCTATCTTGCCAGTTTGGCTTATTTAGCAAAACATATACATATGTGTGTATGAATGTATGTATGTACTCACCTATATACGGTTGCAGGGGTCAAGTCATAGCTCCATGCCCCCCCCTTTTTTTTTTTTTTTTTTTTTTTTTGTGTGTTGTGTGTGTGTGTGTGTGTGTGTGTGTGTGTGTGTACTCACCTAATTGTACTCACCTAATTGTGGTTGCAGGGGTCGAGACTCAGCTCCTGGCCCCGCCTCTTCACTGATCGCTACTGGATTCCTCTCTCTCTCTGCTTCCTGAGCTTTGTCATACCTCTTCTTAAAACTATGTATGGTTCCTGCCTCCACTACTTCACTTGCTAGGCTATTCCACTTGCTGACAACTCTATGACTGAAGAAATACTTCCTAACGTCCCTGTGACTCGTCTGGAGTCTTCAGCTTCCAGTTGTGACCCCTTGTCCCTGTGTCCCCTCTCTGGAACATCCTATCTCTGTCCACCTTGTCTATTCCCCGCAGTATCTTGTATGTCGATATCATGTCTCCCCTGACCCTTCTGTCCTCCAGTGTCCGTCAGTCCGATTTCCCTTAACCCTTTCCTCGTAGACATTCCTTGAGCTCTGGGACTAGCCTTTGTTGCAAACCTTTTGTACATTCTTCTCTAACTTCTTGACGTGCTTGACCGATTGTGGGTTCCAGACTGGTGCGCATTCTCCAGTATGGGCTAACCATACACAGTGTAACATGTCTTGAACGATTCCTTATTGAGAATCGAACGCTATTCATCAGGTTTTGCCAGGCGCCCTATGCTGCAAGGCGGTTTATTTGGTTGATGTGTGCCTCCGGTGATGTACTCGGTGTATGGTCAACCCAAGGTCTTTCTCCCCTGAGTGGAGTCGTAGTCTTTGTTCCCACCTAGCATATATTCTTGTCTGCGGTCTTCTTTGCCCTCCCCAATCTCATGACTTTGCATTTTGGGCTGGATTGAATTCGAGAGCCCGTTTACGACCTCATGTCCAGCCTCTCCAGGTCCTAAGACTTTGCATCCTGCTCATCCTCGTCCTTTAATTTCTTCTGGATCTACTTCACGTCCATCTTCTGCGAACAGGACAACTTTCAGAGTCTAATTCCTTCCCATCATGTCGTTCACATATATCAAAAATAGCACTGGTCCCTAGAACTGACCCCTGTGGGACCTCCGCTCTGTAACAGGCGCCCACTGTGATACCTCTTCACGTAACCATGACTTCTTGCTGCCTCGCCCCTGTCAGTATTTCCCTTATCCATTGCGAGTGCCCTTCCCTTTTTATGTGTGCCTTGATCCTCCAGCTTCTGGCACTAATCCCTTGTGGGGTACTGTGTCAAAGCCTTCCTCAAGTCTAGGAAAACGCATCCCCAAGCCCTCTCGCACGTTCTTACTTCTGTTACCTTGTCATAAAACTCCAGAGTTTGTGATACCAGATTTGCCTTCCATAACCCACTGTTTTCATTTATAATCTTGTTTCCTTTCCAGGTGTTCGACCACTCTCCACCTGATCATCTTCTCCATGAACTTTGCACACAATACATGTCAGAGACACAGTCTGTATTTAGTGCCTCGTTTTCTGTTTCCTTTCTTAAATATGGGGACCTACATTACTGTCTTCCATTTCTCCGGTAGTTTGCCCAGTTTTTCAAGGGATGTGTTGAAGATTGTGGTTAAGGCCACACACAGCATCTCTGCTCCGTCTCTAAGGACCCATGGGGAGATGTTGTTCCGTCCCATCGCCTTTGAGGTGTCCAAGGCACTAAGAGCTTCTCACCTCCTCCTCAGTTGTTCTTATGTCATCCAAACAATTGTTGGTATATTCCTCTTGAGTTCCCTTCGTCGGTCTTCCCACAGCCATCCCTGTCTCTACTGTAAAAACTTCCTTTAAATCTCCTGTTCACTCCTCACTATCCTCCTGATCATTCTTGTGAGTTCTCCACCTTCTGTCCTTAATGATCACCTGGTCTGACTGTTGTCTTCCTCCATGATGTGGCTAATCAACAGCTTCGGGTCATCTTGATTCTCGATGCTATTCATTTTCATACTGTCTCTGGGGGGCTCCCTCCTTACCTGTGCGTACTCATTCCTGGCTCTGCGACTGATCTCCCTATTTTCGTGGTTTCTCTGCCTTCTGTACTTTTTCCATTCGCTATTGCACTTTGATTTTGCCTTCCTTAACACCGTCGGGTAAACCATGGGCTGTATCTGGTCTTCCCGTTGTTACTGTTGCCCTTGGGAAAACCTTTCCACTGCCTCCTTGCATTTTGTTGCTACATTTTCCATCATTTCATTACTGCTTTCCTGCCAGTTCTCTGCCCCACTGGACCTCCCGCATGAATTTCTTCAACCCTATGTTAGTCCCTCTTATATAGGTTCCCAAGGCTTTTCCCATTCTACTCCTGTTATTCTCACCACTTGGTTGCAGCTCTACTATGTATTCAAAGCACAGAACACGTGGTCGCTAGCTCCTAAGGGGACTCTCATACTTGATGTCCTCATATTTCCTGAGCTGCCCAGTGTGAAACACAAGTCCAATCTTGCAGTTTTCATCCTCCCCTCAAACACTACTGGTAGTGTCTTACCATGTGTGTGTGTGTGTTTGTGTGTGTGTGTGTGTGTGTGTGTATGTGTGTGTAGGTGTGTATGTGTGTATGTGTGTATGTGTGTGTGAGTGTGTGTGTGTGTGTGTGTGGTGTGTGTGTGTGTGTGTGTGTGTGTGTGTGTGTACCACCTAGTGAGGTTCGGGGTCGAGTCTGACTCCTGGCCCCGCCTCTTCAACTGATTCGCTACTAAGTCACTCTCCCTGACAAAACGCCTGAGCTTTATCATACCTCTGCTTAAACTATGTATGGATCCTGCCTCCACCTACATCGTCTTCACAAACTATTCCACTTTACTGACTACGCTGTGGCTGAAGAAATACTTTCCTAACATCCCTGTGATATCATCTGTGTCTTCAACTTCCAACTGTGTCCCCTTGTTACTGTGTCCAATCTCTGGAACATCTGTCTTTGTCACCTTGTCAATTCCCTCACAGTATTTTTGTATATCGTTATCATTCCCCCCTATCTTCTCCTGTCCTCCAGTTTCGTCAGTTTGATTTCCCGTAACCTCTCCTCGTAGGACATACCTCTTAGCTCTGGACTAGTCTTGTTGCAAAACCTTTGGACTTTCTCCAGTATCTTTAACGTGCTTGGCTAGGTGTTGTTTCCAAACTGGTGGCTGCACACTCCATATGGGCCTAACGAACCCAGGTGTACATGGTCCTGAACGATTCCTTATTAAAGATGTCGGAATGCTGTCTGAGGTTTTGCCTAGGCCCCATATGCTGCAGCATTATTTGGTTGATGTGCCTTTCAGGAAGATTGCCTGGTGTTATACCACCCCAAGATCTTTTTTCCTTGTGTGGTTGTGTCTGTGTGCATGTCATGTGGTGTGTGTGTGTGTGTGGTTGTTGTGTTGTTGTGGTGTGTTGTGTGTGTGTACACACCTAGTTGTACTCACCTAGGTTGAGGTTGCGGGGGTCAGGTCCGAGCTCCGTGGCCCCGCCTTCTCACTGATCGCAACTAGGCACTCTCCCTGACCGGAGCTTTATCATACCTCTGCTTAATAGCTAATGTATGGATCCTGCCTCCCACTACATCGCTTCCCAAACTATTCTCTTACTGAAACACTGTGGCTGAAGAAATACTTCCTAACATCCCTGTGTTCACTTGTGTCTTCACTTCCAACTGTGTCCCCCTTGTTACTGTGGTCCAATTCACTTGAACTCCTGTCTTTGGTCCCACCTTGTCAATTTTTTCTCTTCAGTATTTTGTATGACGTTATCATTCCCCCCTATCTTCTCTGAGTCCTCCAGTGTCTCCCAGGTTGATTTCCCTTAAAACCTCTCTCTCATAGGACATACCTCTTAGCTCTGGGACTAGTCTTGTTGCAAACCTTTGCACTTTCTCTATTCTTACATGCTGGCTAGTGTGGTTCCAAACTGGTGCTGCATACTCCATTATCGGCCTAACGTACACGGTGTACAGGTCCTGAAAGATTTCCTTTATTAACCCTTGACTGTCCGAAGGGCCCAATCCTGAAGTGTCCTCCTGGTGTCGCAAAATATTCAAAAAAAAAAAAAATTATGTTTTCTTATGAAAAGTTAAGAATTTATTTCTGATTGTTTTAGTCCCAAAAAATAAAATTTTTCCCATCAGTACTTACCGAGATATAGAGCCATGAAGTTTTTGCAGAAAATGACGCGTATGGCAACCCAGCGGCGACTTGCCGCTCACCCCCGTAAACTTTAGTTTACTTGTATTTGAAGGTTTCTTGTTTTTTTCACTATTTTAATTTTTTCACATGAACTATGTGGCCGTGAGACCAAAGTAAGGTGCAATGTACATATATACACTCGTTGTTACAACACAAAAAACACACTAACATAATTATCAATATTATTGTTAACAAAACTTGTTTACAAAACAAACATACAAAAAAGTTTTTATTACTATTGTTCATAATTATATATACCTTATATAGTCACTGAACATACTCCTAGAAGTTCCTGCAGCTTGTGGGAACTCTGTGCAACATGTGTCATAACACAGTGGGTTGTTTTACACTCTCACACATAAAACATGGTGTCATACACAGTGGAGTTTTACACTCCTCACACATAAAACAGGTGTCAAACACTGTGTGTTATACACACTATCAAACATAAAACATGGTGTCATACACATGGTGTTTTTACACTCGTCAAACATAAAACTGGTGTCATACACAATGGTGTTTTACACTCTCACACATAAAATCAGAGTGTGTGCATTTTTGTTGAATTTTTTTTTATTGCAAAGACAAAATACCTCGTCTGAGCAGTTTTCCTTCAAAGTATAGC